CCTTATTAAAAATTGAGGCAATCTAATTAAACCCACAATGAGCCTATGTTTACTTTCTTGATTATTTTAAATTATAAAGATTTTAATATGTTATGTTTGTTCAAGTATACATAACAAGTAGCCTCTTTCAATGTAAGCAGGGATATGCACCTGCTTTAAAGAGAGTATTGGCAGTAAGTATCAAAGATAAATACACGTTACTTTGGTTTAGTGATGTTCTTTACTTTCAATATTTTTATCAAGATCTATATTAATAGGTACACAGAAGCATAATAATGATGTTGATTGTAGACTTGTTTATAAAAGAACAAATGGCTGAAAACTCAAATATTCTCTAGCAAAGGAAATGTTAAATATGCATTGTCTTTTATGGATATAAAGTTCTCTTAATTTTGTGTAAGTCCTTGTATAAAACATTAATGTATAAATAGAACTATTCATTACATATGTAAGAATTTTTCATTTGCATAAAAACCATCTGTTTATATGAGTTCCTATGCAAAGGTATAATTGTTCTTACAGCATATCTTAACATTTCCTTCTATTTTCTCTTAAAGTATGATTGCACTGAGTTTGAATAGATGTTTGACGTTTCTATGCATACAAAGCAATCAGTAACTTCTTTCTGATTTCTTTTGTTATTATGATTTGAAAATCATTTTCGGGATGTGCTTTTATAAACATATATGAACATTTTTACCTACTATAGCTTCAATATTTACTTCATAATACTATATAATCTTACTTTAAAGAAGCATGATGTTATATTTCACATTCTTTCTTCCTGAAACTGTTACTTAATCATCCTTGCAGCACAATTTACTGCACAGTATCCTTGGCTCATCAGCGTGAGCTCACACCTTTGAGCTGTAATCAATACAGGACAGAGCATGGTTCTCGTTTCATGTTTTCACTCTATTTCATTGCCGTAGCTGTCCCTTTCTGTGCTTCATACCACCGTACACTCAGCTAACACCTTACCAATCTTTGCAATACCTTTATTTTGTGGGTAGTGTCTCCCCCACCCCCAATGCCCCATGTACTGTCACAAGTCAACATTGAATGTATACCTTTATCACTCTTTTCGTTTCTTTGATTTTTTTTCTGAGACAGGGTTTCTCTGTGTAGTCCGATCTGTCCTGGAATTGGAATGTGTACTAAACTTGCTGTAACACACAGTGATTTACTTGCTTCTGCCTCTCTTGGGTTGGAATTAAAATTATGTACCCACCACACACCCCACAAACTTAGGTCTTCTTATTTACATAGCAAACATTTTATCTGCTGAGCCATGTCTCTAGACCTGCACTAGATTTTGCAAAAGAACTTTTCAAAGAAAACTTTAAAAACATTTTATCATGTTTGTCTTCCAAGGGTAAAATTACAAATAATTCAATTTTTTTGAAATGTAAAACCAAATCAGGGAAGAATCATTATCTTTAGAATACTAAATATCTGGACTATATTTCCATTTATTAGAATGCATTTTATGCTTCTTGTATAGTTTAGTGTTTTTTTGGACAGTGTGTCTCATATTGTTCTTGTTTATTACTGAATTATTTGCAATTATGAAAGGAACCATTCTTCTTAGTGATTACAGTTGATGCTTAAGAAAAACACTGATTTTATCATGTACACTTTATATGAACTTTTAATTTTATGCTGTCTGTTATGGTTATCCATTTGGTTCTTCTGAGTTTTCAGGGAGACAAGAGTATCAATTTAAACTGGCCTGTGTGACAGATATGCTGGCAGTGAGTGTTTTGTTCTGACTGTCATAGCTCTAGTATTCCATATTAAGCATGATGCTGCCAGTTGCCTTCCAGATAATCAAATTTGTCTGAGTAAAAGACACTGAGATTCTTCACTACTGCCTTATTCGAACAGAGATCTGACAGCATGTCTTTAGATGTGCAGCATGTTTCAGCATTTCCTCCCATCCTACTAAGAAGCCCATAAACCTTGATGATACCCTCAGAATTTTCCAATAAGTTGTCAGATTTCAAGTCACCAATCTATCTTTTTTGTCTCATTTCACATGTGCTTGAGTCTGCTGAATGGAGATTTTATTTTAGATTCATATTAATCTTCTGCTGCTGTCTGCAGTTTGATCTTAAGCAGAGTATTAAAGGAGACAGGGAATATTTTAGAAGTCTTCCAATGCCAGTATGTACAGAACTCCAGTCATTACAACCAATGTGAGACTCGTCTAAAATAAATTCAAACTTGATATTTTCTGATGAGTCCTCAGACATCAAGTTCCTTTGAAGTATAAGACAACCCATGACAGAATCAAATATAATGGCAGTCCTGTTTCTAAGGTGACTTTAAACTATCACACTTAATTAGATCAGTGGGTTTTGGCTCAAGAGTGTTTACTGTAGAAACATGTTAAGAAATTCCCCATGGTTCCAGACCTTTTGATCTCATGTTGTCATGTTGTTTCTTATTCTCTTATTATTTCTCAATATTTCATTGTGTTTATTCTACCCTGATGCTTCAAGTTCTACCTTCCCTCCATGGAAGCTTATGGTTCCACATTTTAAGCTCCTGTAGATTATCACCATGAAGGTGAAGCCAAGGGACTTGACTTTGTATTTTGCTGATGATTTTGAATATGCTGCTATAACATATACATGATCTATTTTTAAAATGAAGAATTATAATGGATAAAATACATTATCCAAGTTATAATTGCAGCAACTAATGATTCCTGTTTCTTTTTAGATATTCCATTGAGTTCTTGTTTTTCAGTAATTCTGTCTTATTTAGTACAAACTGAAATTCAGGAAAAGTTGACAAAGTAACTGCCTCATCAAGATTACCAACAAGTTGAAATAGAACAAAAACAGGGATGGGTTAGAAATAAGAGAGAGTGGAGGGAGGGAGGAGAGAGTGAAAAAGAGAGACAGAGAAACATTAAAACAGCATTACATCTTAGATGCTATATTTTTACATTGTTATAAAATTTAAAGCTTATGTTAATACTCAAGACTGAATATACAGGGATTGGAGAAGCATGCAGAATGGGTTAAAGTGAAGAAATAAATTTTTGTTTAATAAAAAATTTAGAACTGACTACTGGGCATTTTCGGAGGCAGAACCATGCTTTTGCCAACAGTTGATTTTATTCATCCTCATCGCTGGTTTTCAGCCTATTGCACCCAGTATCCTCCTCTGACCTTTCAATTTCCAAGGTCCCTATGCTGCTAAGTCAGAGTGCTGTATTGTTATTTCCCTGTATCTGCCCACAGAACTTTGACCATGCTTACTTATTTGGTGAGCATTTAGGTTTTGATTAGTTGAAAGCAGATGCTGTGTAACTTGTGACGAAATTCACTGCTCTCTGCTCCTTCCTCATCCCCTCTGAAGCCTCAAGAAGACACTGGACGCTCTTGGGAATTAGCTTCATCAAAGGGTTCAGTTTTTTATTGAAAAAAGACCTAAGTGGTTGGCCTCATCCATTTTTTTCATCGTGTGCCACAGGTTGCCACCCTGACAAAGATTCCTTCCCTGAAGTGTCCCCCTGTGTAACCTTACCAGACAGTAAACCAGGGGATTTTTGACTTGGCAGGGTGAACAGAGGCTGTAGGGTTGGAGGCAGAGCGTGTATCTGGAACAGATGTTTTGGGTTGCTTGCAGTCTGGAAACTCTTGCGGCTTCCAGGATGCCCTGCTGAGTGAATGGTAACTTTGGCAGCACATTTTGCTTCTATTAGCTAATCCAATGGGTTGGGGAGACACCAAGGGAATAAGAGAAATCTGAGAGTGCTGTCCTCAGCATCAGTCACACGTGGAAAACTTCACCAGAAAATACTCCATGGCATTCTGACTAGCTTTCAAGCTATCTGGACCTCCAAGCATGGTGTTGCTGAACACAGACTAGCATATTTATCTCTGTGTAGTTATTGATTGCATAACTTATCTCAAAAGAAGGTCATTTGAGGCCACTTATCTCTTCCCCCCTTCCCCCGCAGTGATGGCTGATAGACTTGCTCACATATGTGTTGATGCCAGTGGCTTTTCTAAAAGGAATCCCATCCCCGCTTAAGGAGCTGTGTGATAATAAACAGGATAAGTAGAAGGAGGTCAGCTGTCTGTCCCTAGGTGCAGATCCTTAATCTGAAAAGCTCCAGGCAGCTGATTACCCAGGGTTACAATGATCTATTTGGTAGTTGTGTGTCTCTCCTCTCTTTCTTTCTATTCACGAAATTTATGTTTCAGTGTGTATCCTTATGTATCTAGCTTTGCAAGTGAATTTTTGGTGAGAGGAATTAGCCTGACGCCTTTTCTCCATGTGTAACATCATTCCAACTGGCGTTCAGACAGTGTCTCTGAGAGTTTTAGGCAGTTGTCAGCTCATTTTAGAAGCAACTTGCTCTCTCTCTCCGTCCCTCCCTCCCTCCGTCCCTCCCTCCCTCCGTCCCTCCCTCCCTCCGTCCCTCCCTCCGTCCCTCCCTCCCCCCTCTCTATCTTTATCTCTCTCTCTGTGTTTCTCCCCCTCCCTCCCTCTCCCTCTCTCTATCTTTCTCTATCTCTCTCTCTGTGTTTCTCCCCCTCCCTCCCTCTCTCTCTTTCCCTCTCCCCCAGTCTCCCTCTTCATCTTTCTCCCCCCCTTCATCTGTTTCTTCCCTCCTTCCTTTTCCCTCCCCGAGTCCTTTTCCTTTTTTCCCTTCCCATTTTTTGCAAGCCCACATCCTGCTAGCCTCTCTCCAGATGTCCAAGTAGACGTCTGAGCGGCCAAGGAGTTCAATGTCACGCTGGGTGGAAGTGGAGCAGGAGAGCAGCGGGGCGCTCGCGGGCAGAAGCGGTCCGTGGCCGGCAGGGGGCAGCCGAGGGGCGGCGCTGGCGCGCGGATGCTGAGCGAAGCCTCGCCCCGCGCCCGCATCCTCAGCCTCAGCACCAGGCGCGGCGGAGCCCAGAGCGCAAGCCACTGAGGGCAGCGGCGGCGGCGGGAGCGAGGCGCGCAGCTGAGCAGCGGCGCGGGCGGGAAGCAGGAGCCGCCGCCGCTGCCGCCGCCGCCGCGACGGGCAGCCGGGCTCTCGGGCAGCCGGCTCCGGCACCTGCCCCTTGGCCTCGAGCCCCCGGCGAGTCTGGAGCCCGCGCCGTCGCCGTCTCCGACCGCGTCCTCCGGGCATGGAAGGCGGCGGCAAGTCCAAGTCCGCGTCCAACAGTCGCGACGATGGCAACAGCGTCTTCCCCTCCAAGGCACCCGCGACGGGGCCGGCAGTAGCCGACAAGCGCCTGGGGACCCCGCCGGGGAGCGGCGCGGCGGGGAAGGAGCACGGTAACTCGGTGTGCTTCAAGGTGGACGGCGGAGGCGGCGAGGAGCCGGCGGGCAGCTTCGAGGATGCTGAGGGACCCCGGCGCCAGTATGGTTTCATGCAGAGGCAGTTCACTTCCATGCTGCAGCCCGGGGTCAACAAATTCTCCCTCCGCATGTTCGGCAGCCAGAAGGCGGTGGAGAAGGAGCAGGAAAGGGTTAAAACTGCAGGCTTCTGGATTATCCACCCGTACAGTGACTTCAGGTGAGGGCTCCCTGGCGCCGCCCCACCCTGCTCCCACCCAGGCGTGCCCTCCAGCATCCTACCCTGTCCCTGGGAGGGGGTGCCCCTGGGATTCGCAGCGGGGTGTGGGGCAGGCGTGGCAGTGCTACCGTAGCTGCTACTCAAACTGGTCAGACTCTACTCTTCAACTAGTTTCCATCCAGGAAAGGTTTGGGGTAGGGAGTTTCTTCTCCCCAGAATGCTAGAGAGGCTCTTGCCTTTTGCCTCATGAACTTTGGGGAATAGATGGGGAGGGAAGAAGGCCACTGTGACCCCTGTGGCTAAGTTGCACTAGGGAAACTTTTACTTCAGTAATGGGAGAGTTAGGACTAGGGCAGGCATCTTTGCTAGCGCTACTCCTGGAGAGGAAAAGATGCCTCTGGGATTCCGGAGAGGAGGAAACTGGAGACAGTGACTCACAGGTCCTAGCTGCTCCTGCCACTTTCGCCCCTGGGAGTGTTAATCTGTTGTTCTTATGCCTATAGGCTCTCTTGTCACCATTGCATTTCTCCAGATCAGTGGCTGGCAGGCACAGGAAGGACACTTGCACTTGGGTAGTCTGAGACTTGAGGTTTCAAAGGAGCCAGTGCTGCCCGACAGGACAGGAGCATGACAGGAAGCTTCGAGTTCCCGAAACAGAGACAGGGGGCTTTTCTAGAGCCCCCTTCCTGAAATAGAGCGACACCCGCTCTTGACCTTGACTACAAATCCGTTTCAGAAATGTCTTTCCAGTTTCCCAGCCTTGGAGGAAGGGCGGCAGAGCTGTCAGCAGGAGAAAATTAATATGAGTTTCCTGAGCTTATTTGTAGCCCAAGTATCCATTCAGTTAATAAGCACGTTTAGTGGCTGACAAATGAAGGTCGTAAAGTAGATCCTCTTATTAGCCTGTAACTCAGCCGCTGCTCCAGAACACAAGCAGAGCTACCTTCTAAACATCCCAAACTAGTAACTCCGGATGATACACTTTTTGTTTTTTTGTATTTTTCCGAACGAGGGGGAAAAACACAACAACGAATATGTGTGCACACTGAGCATTTAGGCTCCGGGTAAACCGCAAGCAAACATAGCAACAAAAAGCATTACTTGGAGCAGTGTTCAGAAACTAACCTAAATTGCCTTTAAGTTCAGACAGGGGTGGGAGCTGTCCACAGTTCTGAATCAAGTTAACTGTGGAATACTGCCCAACAAAGCTTGGGGAGAGGACTGTTCATCTTCCCTGAGATATTTATCGCCTCGGAAATCAGGTGTGTCTCTTCTTATGCACAGACTGGATGCATTTGCAAAAACACATAGGAAGTCCCATTGAAGGACTTTCAATAACTAATGGCATTTATTGCTTCCACATCATTGAGTTCAAATGAAAGAATGTTCGGACTTAAAGAACCTCCCGAGTAATCAAATATTCTTCATCCAAGAGGAAGATACTTGGAAAGACAAACTCATAGATGGTCTCTCTCCGTCTAAGGTAAATTAGGTTGTTACACTCTTTAGAATTTTAAAACTGGTAATCAGGTTTGAATACCATGTCTTTTTGAATCCTCCATGGGAATACAATCCAAATGATAGTATAGACTTCAACAGAAAAAACTTTGCAAGACAACATTCAACAGTCTTAATAATAAAAATGAGAGCTATATTTCAAAAAAATCTATGACATTCAATGACAACATGCAAAAAGCTCTATACTTTGTTTACTTGATATCATATTTAATTAAATGAGTCCAAAGTATACTTCTATACTCATCAACAGGAAAATAATGGTGTTTTTCAAAATAGTAGCATATATGAAATGGTTAAAGTCCCCCCTCCCATTTATTTTTTCCAAAAGTGTATAGCATATATAGCAACTTTTCATGAATTAGAATCATAAGTCCAATCTGTGGATCAATGAAACCAAAGGATTCTATATATTATTCTATATATTCTATATATCTGGTGAAACAAAAGCAATCACTGAACAAAGGTGGAGAGTAAAACCAAGTGATGATTCAGTTTCATCCTACACTTCACAGAAGTGACTAAGAGGTGAGCTACGTACTGATAAACTCTAGTACAGTTTGGGGGATTTGATTACCCTTGCACAAATGGAAACATGGCAGCAATAAGCTAAATAATCATTTAAAATTTTTAGATACAAGATATCTGAAAAAAGTGAACTGAAGAATTACAATACACTGTCCCCCCTAGAAATGACAAACTAAGGGGGCCATCCTATTAATTAGTATTTTTGCATAGTCACAATACCAAACACAAGCATTTTCAAACCTAAGACATGCCAAGAAAATGTAGTTGTTAAACCCACAATCAACACCTGACAAATTTCCAGCAACCTTTTTCTCTACAGTGAAATCAATATTTAAGTGGCTTTCAGTGGATGCTGGAAAATTTTGTTTTTGATTTGCTCATCTCAGACCTTTCCTGAGGAAGTACTTTGAGGGAAGTGTTTTTCTGAAATTACTAAATCGTCAAACTTAAGTTGATTAATCTGTTAACAGAGAAAGTAACACATTAGACTACATTTCCACAGAAGGGCGTTGCTTTTGGAAAGTCACAAAGAAAAGTGGGCTCTTGCCTTCACACCTTCATACTATCCCTGAATATCTCTGGGACTAGGAGAGTTCCCTCTGCATTTGCTGCCCATCCCTACATTGCTGAGAGTAGTGTGACACTTTTCTCTAGGACATGTCATGGTCTGTGTTGTGCCTAATATTCTGGTGACCATCTCAGGATGACTTCTCAGTCTAGATCCTTTTGCACTTCCTTCTAGAGTGAAGGCTGTGTCCCTGCTGCCAGGTTCAGACAGCTAGCTAGTACCTCTTCTGCTCATCAGAGTCTGAGTGTGCTACTTTTGTGTCTGGCAGGTAGCAGTCTTCCACTTTCAGTGTAATTAGGGCAGAGGCTCTGTGTTTCCCTTTCTTTCTCAGGAGAGGATGACGGTAGGGACCTTCAGGGAGTAAGGGAGGACCCAATGGTAGCAATATTGTAAGAAACCATGGGGAAGAAGCTAGGAAATATATATTTTTGTGATATTTAATCATCAAGACTGGGAAACTATTGGCAGGTACTTATGGTTCATTGAGTTTTAAGATTTTTTTTGTGCGTATGTGTTGATGTGTTGCCATTCCTCCCCCCCGTGTGTGTGTGTGTGTGTGTGTGTGTGTGTGTGTGTGTGTGTGTGTGTGTGTGTGTTCAGGTGTGCTTGTCTATGGAGGCCAGATTGGATGTCTTCTTTAATTACTCTCCACCTTGTGATAAAGATCTTAAAAGTCATTCACACAGGTGTGCGTTTTGTGCGTTGAAGGCATGGTCACAGCCTTTTGAAAATTTGTGTTAGCAACACACATTTAATTTCAAGGTTAAATATTAAGATTTTGAGAGAAGCAGTAGTGTTTATACATTTACAAAAGTTAAAGTTATAATGTTTACTCATTTAATAATTATGGGAGGATAAGTAAGTGTTGTGATCTCTCAGTCATTTGTTAGTTATGATATAATTATTCAAATATGATGAAAGAATATTAAGAATGCTTTTATTGTTGTGTGTCTGTATGTGCGTGTGTGTGTGTGTGTGTGCGCGCGCGCGCGTGCATGCGCTGTATTTGTGTATTTCTAGGGGTCAAACCGAGAGCCAACAACATGCTAGCCAAGTTCCCACTAAGTTATGCTCTACCACTATGAATGATTTTGTTAAGAGAACAGCTTACCTTGGAAAAAACTTGTTCCCATAATATTTTCTATTTAGGGCTTCTGTTGTTTCTTTGTTGGCCCATGCTTACACAAAGGCTCATTTAAACAAAATGCCTCTGTTCTATGAAGAAGCCAACTGACATTGTGTCATTTGTTATGGGGCACACATGGGTGTGTGTGTGTGTTGTATTTTGACTTCTGAATACTTAGGATAAGATGTCACTTTCTGAAGATAACAGCACCTCTGCCCTTCTGTACCTACCTCATAGTGTACATCACTACTGAAGTCAGAGGTCACCGACATGCTCATTAAGGAAGGGAGGCTTGAATCCCATTCCCCAGTTCACCAGAACGAGACCATTTATTTCTGGGAGCTCCTCACAAGAAAATAGTTCAACCTTCTGGGGTTTACGTTCTGATTAGCTTATTATTCCAGCACCTTTAAGCTGGATGCACTCGAATTCTCTAAGTGGTGTGTTTGTTTTCCTGTATCAACAGATCCAGAATAAGTCAGAAAGATGTATTTCTATGTTAGTGAATCTTTTTATATCTTTAGATTTAATTTTTTAAAAATAGAGATTGTCAGTGGTAAGCCCAGTTAAAATTTATTGAAATGTTTTAAGCTATGAATTTATTAAGTAAACTTTTTACTGGATTTCATGACTTAAAGGTTTACTTAATGTTTGGAAATTAAATGCCACATACTAAATATTGTAGATATATAAACATTTTCACTATAGTAAATCAAACATTGTAAGACAATTTTCATTGTTCCTGAATGAATTTTAATTTAAGAATACCCTTGAGGATTTGCTATAAATTGAGAATAGGTAGATATGTACACTATACTAATCATCTGCAAACATGTTTTAATGAAATACTAACAAAATTTACCTATGTTACAAAGACATTATTTATTAATTTCATTATATGTTCAGTTAACTGTACTGAATTCAACTGTATCTGCCTTAACTAAAACCATAAGCCAAGACATCACCACCAGTGGGACACAGCGTAAATGGTATCTATAATATCTATCTCCCATTGTGATCATGGCACCAGCAAAATGTAGTTCATGTAAATGGCAAATGATCTCACGCCCCCCCAATTCAGGGTAGGCTTTTCATGTTTCTCAGATAATTCACCTCATAACCAAGCAATAGATAGTGTGTAACCTGTCAAATACAGTCCCTATAAGTAAAATGCAACATTAAATATGTACATTAATACTAATACAGAAGTATATAAATTAGAACTGCATGAAGACTATAGAATATTTTCAGGGTCTGTGATAA